TGAAAGCCGCTCTGAGACTCCAAGTGAAGGGCGGGGTATAAATCAAATCTCTTCTTCTCTTCTTCTACCTTCCCATTGAAGTGGTACCTATTGATCTACTTGCAATGTCTTGCTTTCGAACTGCTAGGCTGGCAGAAGCTGGGGCCAGAGATGGGAGTTCACTCTGTCATGCGGCACACTCGGGTCTCGAACTGCTGAACTACCGACCTTCCAGTCTGCAGCTAAGCGTCTTGACCTCGATTCCCAGAGAGGCTTCTAGGCACAGTTGAAGAAGACCTGAGGTACCATTCCTAGATGGTGGCCCTCCATGGGCAGTAGGTTCAGGACTTACAAAAGGAAATACTACTTTACGACAGACCGTGATTAAAATGTGGAATTTGCTGCCAGAAGATGTAGTGATGGCCACAGGAATAAACAGCTTTAAAAGGGGATTGGGCAGATTCATGGAGGATAAGTCTAGCCCTCGTGACTGAGGGGAACCTCCACATCTGGATCCCAGAGCCAGGAGGCAACATCAGGGGACGTCCTCGGCCTCTCTGCCCTGTTGCCGGCTGTCCAGAGGAACTGGTTGGCCACTGTGTGGGACAGGATGCTGGACTAGATGGTCCCTCACTGGTCTGATCCTGCAGGGCCCTTCTTATGTCCTTGTAAGGACAGAAGGCTGGGGTACAGATTTTGTAATATATAATATATATATAAAATGAAGTGAGAAGACTGGCTTCTTCAGGCCCCGCCAGAGTCATCGAGATCTGGGGAATTCTGTACCCACTTCTCCCCCATCTTGGCGGCGCTGGCCCTAATATAGGCAGGGATTCCAAGAGGAGAACCGGCTGAGACCAGCAGCAGTTTGGTGGCTTCCACGATCCCGGTTTCAAGAAAACAAAACCTTCAAAAGCAGGCTCCGTGTGAAAGCAAACCTGTTTTGAGCTCACGGGAAACCATTAAGCAAACCTGCTTTTCTGCTGACTCCTATCCACTCTTGGAACGCATCACGCTTGCTTGAAAACCAAACATGAAAGGGGGGGGGGAATCGAACCAAATGAATTTTGGGCGTCCCCTGCGCTGCAAAAGAGCCAGCGACGCTGCGAGTCAGCTCAAATCTAAAAACTAGATTTGAAAGAAAAGCACGAATTAGCTTAGCGGTTTTAGGGGTCCCCCCCATTCTTTTGCTGCCGTCGGCGGAAACCCGTGTGGGCCCCTCCTCGGCTGCTTGATGGATGGATGGGACCCGCTCGAGGGAAATGGTGGGGCCTGCAAAGAATTAGCAGAGTTATTTTCCCGGGCCGGCAACCAAGCCTCAGGCGGTACTTACAGGGAAATGGATTAGGGGCACCGTCAGCACCACGGCCAGGAGGATGCCTATTTTGACAGTCGTGATGAGGGTGTCGTGGGGCAGGTATCGGCTGTATCCTTGCAGCAATTCGGAATCCACGTGGTCTGAAAACAAAAAAACAGTGTATATTTCCCTCCCAAAAAAGTTACTAGAATTATCAGAGAGCCACCCCTACGCTCATTGCCTGTTTTGTGCGGGGAACTTTTGGGGCATCCTGGACTTCTTTGTCATTTTTATCAGAGGTTCCAGAGCGAGGAGAAAACACAGGCAAGATTGGACAGGCTTTCCCGAAAGGTGGTTTTTCTGGTGATGGGCAACTGCAGGGAAATATTTGATACATTCAGGGAGTCTTGGGTCTAAAAGAAGAAGAAGAAGAAGAAGAAGAAGAAGAAGAAGAAGAAGAAGAAGAAGAGGAGGAGGAGGAGGAGGAGGAGGGAAAAATGGATTTATACCCCCCCCCTCACTCAAGAGTCTCAGAGTGGCTTACAGTCTCCTTCCCTTCCTCTACCCACAATAGGCACCCAGTGAGGTAAGTGGGGTTGAGAGAGCGGTCTGAGAACTGCTCTTGAGAGAACAGCTCCAAGAGAACTTGTGACTGACCCCGGGTCAGCCAGCAGCTGCATGCGGAGGAGTGGGGAATCAAACCTAGCTCTCCCAGATTAGAGTCCGCACTCCTAACCACAACACTAAACTGGCTCTCAAACTAGCAGGACAGAAAAGTTAAACCCTGAGGCTTTACGTAAGTCCAGCGTCATGTTTAAACTGGTCAATGACCAGAGCGACAGCCACCAGGGTGACAGAGCTCTCTGGTGTGGCAATGAAGCATGTAAGCATACTTCGAATAGGCTGGCCTGTTTGAAGCCACATGGATGAATTCTTCTCTCCTCCCCCCCACGCCATCAATCACGAAAATACACACCTGGAACCCCGGGGCGGGGTGGGGTGGAATTAACACTGTTTGTGCTAGGTGGCCATTGGGGAGCCTTAGGAAACCTAGGCATGCTTTTTTTGTGCCCATTGCACTTTACCCCCCTCCCCCGGTGTCTGCAGTCTCCATCCCCTACAGGACTTCCTGCCAGAAACCATATGAACTGATAAATCTGGAGGGGATACACCAACACAACAAAAAGGTCAGTCAAGTGTTTTTATAATGTGGGCAGGGCCAGATAAGATCTCTGCCCAACAGGGCTTCTGATTGGCTGTGCAGAGATTTGGAGGGGGGGAAAAACCTGCTTTGGCAGCCACTGACACCACAGCTGGAGGATATGCTTGTGACTGACACGTTGGAAGGCTTACTATTGGAGTTATGCATAACTGCAATCCCTGACATATTGTGACTTGCTCTGACTCCTGTGGCAACCATTTTGTGGTTGGCCCTGCCTCCCGTGGCAACCATTTTGTGGTTGGCCCCGCCTCCCGTGGCAACCATTTTGTGACTGGCTCCACCTCCTCGTGTCATACTTCCACAGGTGTCCGCGGCTTCAAAAACATCAATGACCTCTGCTATAGGGCAGTAATATTTTTTTCAAAATGCCCTCTGATGGCACAGTGGGCTAAATGGTGGCCACGAGGGCCTGATGAAAGGAAACGGGCACAGAGATGGGTGTCACCTTTGAAAATTCGCAGCTTCGCATCTGACGGCCTTGCTTTCCCTCCTCTGCCTCCCAAACCCCAAGGCCATTTGAAAGCAGAGATGGAGAAAAGCCTCTGTGTGGATGCAGCCTAGGCATGTATGCAGGGGATGCAGGTGGAGCCTTAGTGATGGAGGGTCTATATCCAGATCACTTCCTCTCCATAAATACTCTCCCCCTCGCCTCCAGAGATCCCTCTCATTTCGCCATATTTCCTACTATGCTGTCATTGCATAACTTAGTGAAAATTCATCGGGCACATCTGGGGGTCACAAAAATGACCGACATGTGAGAAAACAGCACAAATACTTGGGAAACAGGAAATCTATAGCAGGGGGGTGCGGTCGGTTTCCAAGAAGTAGGAATTAAGGCGCTTTCCACAGGACAGCAATCTGGATATAACATGGCTGTTGCTGATACATCCAGAACAAAAAGATACACGGTAGACTGATCAGCTTTTGGAAGATCCACAGGGATGTGCATCCCCTACGACCAAGGTCTCAAATGTGATGCCCATGGACACCACAGTGCCTTTCGACCCCTTTCCCAGCACCCGCCGAGTGTTTTTAGAAAGTGGGTGGTACCCAGTGGGGCTTTTGCCCAGCAAGGCTTTGGATTGGCTGAGCGGATCTTTAAAAACACTGCTTTCGGCAGCAGTTGCCCCCACAGCGCGGGAATCTTCACGGTGTGATTGAAACGAAGCTGCGTCGGCCGTTTTGTGATTGGCCCCGCCTCCCGCGACAGCCTTTTCCGGGCAGTCATTTTGTGCTGCGCCCACCCCATTGCCTCAGAGTTCCAAATGGGCCCATGGGCTCGAAAAGGTTGGGACCCCCTGCCCTAGGGCAACTTGGATGATTTGAAAACAAACGTTTAAGCTAGGGGACAGTCACACATTTAAGGCGTTATGAAACGCGCACGACGCAATCGTGTTCCCAGGGGGCTAAAAATTAATCCACAGTTCTGGAAGGAAGTGTTGAGAGAAACATTTCTCTTTGACATATATGCATTGTACCAGGAATTGAAAGTATAATAATATGAGGAAGGGAGGGGAGGGGAGGGGGGGGAGCAATGCAGGGCTGAAAAGCATTCTCCGACAAAGAAAACCACGCAGCATTATTTTGCAAACGGGGGGGGGGAGAGGCGAGCAAAAATGAACACTCGCACGACCAACAACTGGCTTCTAATCTACAGGACATCAACTGACCTTAAGTGACAACCTTAAGCGGGTCACCCACCAGCTTTCTGCAGTATTTTGATGGACCTTGAAAAAGAAGAAAGCCACCAAGGTGTAAGGAGTGCAGAGACCTGGCCCAAGGGAAAGCAAGCCTGCAGGGATTCACACAAGCACCGTAACGGACTCGTTAGGGGGAGCTTTAATGCCACAAACAGCTGCGATTGAGACATGCTGGGGAAACATACATCTCCAGGAGGATGCGGTGTTCGATAGCCAGTTTGGATGGATTTGAAATAACGGTGACTGTCACTTGGAAAACATGGTTGTGTTAATCCACTTTCAGGGGGAATACAGGTTTCCCATCCATATATATTATACGGCAATGTACTGCCAGATAAGAAAAAAATGTTTGCCTAAAATGAAGTTAGGATGGATTTGCATGACATTTATTTTCAGACATCCCCCCCCCCCAGCTCAAATTGAAACATTTGTGGATTGCAGGCCAACCTGCGTAGACAAAGTCACCTGAACGTGTGGAGCTAGGGTTGTCAGGTCCTTACTGTGTTCCGGCAGGGGGCTCCAGTCTTCTTGGAGTCTTCTGGCGCACAGTGATGACGTCACCCGGAGGTAATGTCATCACGCTGGGCACATTGCGTGGGGGACACTCTAGCATTTGGGGAAAACTCTATGGTCACCATAGAGTCCCCCCCCCAAAAAAATGCTAGCGCGTCCCCTATGCGACGTGCCCTGTGCAATGATGTCACCCACGCCCGGCAGCTCGGGCCTTGCTTAGCTGTTTCAAGGAATTGCAACTTCTTCTGTAAAATTAATTTCCCTATGAATTTTGCATGGTTTTCCACAATATCTAAATAAGTGTAGTAATGATAGTAATAATAATCATAATAAATAATGATTTGTAAGAATGACCCAAAAGAAGGACCAACCCGTTGCTGTCTTTGCAGCCCCAGGAAGATCAACAAAATCAGGAACGCCGGGCAACTGGTATTCAAAAGTGTGGGTCACGGAGGAATGCAGGGCCAACCAATTTTTTTAAGAAGGGATGAATGCCTTGGAATTACACTCACCGTAAAAAGTCAGATATCCAAACAGCGCAGACAAAAGGTACACTAAAAAGCTCAGACCGATTCCAGTGTTGGCGACCTTCAGCATCCTGCTTTTGGACGGACTGCAAAAACACAGAACACGAACGCGGCTTCGCTGAAGACTTTAGAAGGAGTCGGAGGGATGTCATAGCAGGCCTAACTGCAGCGACTCACAAAAGCTCATACTCTACCACAAACTTCGTTAGTCTTTCAGGTGCTACTGGACCCTTGCTCTTTTCTACTGCTACAGACAGACTAACATGGCTACTCACCTTGGAAGTGAGCCTTGACTCACGAAAGCTCCTCCCCTGCCAAAAATTTTGTTAGCCTTTAGGGTGCTCCTGGACTCTTGCTCCTTTTCTACTGCTACAGACAGACGAACACAGCTACCCTCCCGTAACTGAATTAGAGACAGTCCAGTTCCATTGATGTTGTGGGAGTTGCACATCCCCCCCCCGAACCTCATGTGAGTTTGCAGCTGCCATATGATCCAGCTCGCAGGATTACACCACTCACAGCCACAGGGGCTTTCAGAATTTTGAAAACTGCATAATGCTGAGTGGGTTCCTCTGATAAACCTGCAGCTGACTTGCTCTAGAAAAGCGCTTATGCAAAGGGTGACAATGCTCAGTAGGCTAGAGAAACCACCTCCTCGTTATTCAGCATATTCACAACCGATGCTAAACGAAACAGAAATCAGATCTCCCTGCTGTGTTACGCTTTGAAAACCGTACGCCCTCGCCCAGTCCGTTTACCTCTGCAGCTCACAGTAAATGGGTAACACTGACGTGTGGCACAAAAAAGAGAAAGCCATGATCGGGATCACGTATGCGCTCTGGGGGGGAAAGAGAGAAAGAAAGGACATGCTTGAAACCGTGTCTGTGATCTCTGATGTTTAGTTCTATCCGGGGCTCTTTTTGTAGCAGGAACTCCTGTGCATATTAGGCCACACACTCCTAATGTAGCCAATCCTCCAAGAGCTTACAGAGCTCTTCTTACAGGAGCTACTGTAAGCTCTTGGAGGATTGGCTACATTAGGGGTGTGTCACTTAATATGCAAATGAGTACCTGCTACAAAAAGAGCCCTGCATGGACCTGCCCCAGATCTCCCCCTCAAGAGCTGGACCACGTCAGACTTTCAGATCTCGACTCCCCCACTAGTGCCGGCCGCTTCTGAGAGTTTAAAAGGGTTAATGAATGCTGCTGCTCCGCAACCATTCAAAGAAATGCATTTTGAACAACAGTGGTTTACTCTCAAAGCAAAGTTCCATCTTTACGATGGAAAGATAAAGCACTACCAGACCTGTCGCACCAGCACAAAACGTTATGGGACCTTTATATCATGGACAAAATCACTGACTACATATCACCTCTTACCTCCCAATCATCTTCATCAGGGGTCATTTCCTGCAGGAGCGCGCACAGGAGCGGAGCTCCGGCAGTAAAGAGCCCAAGGGGTGGGCACATGCAACAAGCCCCACCCCCTGCTCCCAGCAGCCCTCAGTCGGAGCAAGAAGCAGCCAGGTATGCTGCAGAGCCCCCCCCCCAGCTCAAAACAGTCCAGTGGCACCTTTAAGACCAAGTTTTATTCAGGTACAAGCTCTCCCTCCTCTGTGAGGGCAAATCTGCATGTTCCCCCCCCCCCCTTCCTCTGCAGGGCAAAACTTGTCGTTCCCCCCCCCCCCCATAGCTAGCAATCCAAAACAATCCAGTGGAGCCTAAGCGGTGGGTGTTGCCTTCTGATACACTTCCGGTGATGTCAGGGGGTGTGGCATATGCAAATAAGTTATGCTAATGAGTTATGATAATGAGCTCCTGCACCTCTTTTTCTACGAAATGACCCCTGATCTTCATCTAACTTTGTGGCGACTTGGTTCCCCATTATGGGATACCTAGCAGAACATGGTGATGTGCCTGCTGTAATTGATACTCTTTGTTTGTGGTAAATCTTGAAAGATATTTAGGTACCTTGAGTATACAGTTCAACATGGTGAAAATAGGGCAAATATGATTTACTTACTGCATGTTGTATATTTCCACATTAGCATTTATATGCTCTGGCTAACTTACAGATTATAGACCTATCTTTGTTATTGTGCTATATAACATTGTACCATCTTGTTATGTTTTTTTTCTTTTTCGAGATCATGAGATCATCTCTTTTTTTATCATGAGAAGGGAGGGCAGGAAGGGTTGCCCCAGTGCTTAGTTCTTGTGGCCCTTTCTTACACGCCCAGGGAAATGCTAATCGCCACTTTGGGGTCAGGAAGCAATTTTTCTCCAGGCCGGTTTGGCCGGGGATCCTGGAGGTTTTTTGCCCTCTTCTGGGCATGGAGCAGGGGTCACTGAGGGTGTGTAGGGGGATGTATTTGTGAATTTCCTGCCTTGTGCAGGGGGTTGGACTAGATGACCCTGGAGGTCCCTTCCAACTTTTTTTAAAAATTAGTATTTTATTGCATTTTCTCATAGAATCATAGAATCATATTCTATGAAAAAATGCAATAAAATATAAAAAAATTTATAAAGCAAAGGGGTTTAAACCCTTCTGTTATCTGTCCAGTAAGATCACCTCTCTCAATCAAATCAAGCCTGAACTCTCTCTAGAAGCTAAAACTGCTAAACTGAGGCTATTGTGGTTTGGTCACATTATGAGAACTCAAGACACCCTGGAAAAGACAATAATGCTAGGCAAGTTTGAAGGCGGCAGGAAAAGAGGCCCAACTTGAGGAGGATGGACTCCATCCAGGAAGCCACGGCCTTCAGTTTGCAAGAGGTGACATTTTGGAGGTCATTAATTCATAGTTGGAAGAGACTTGACAGGCCTGAAACACTCACAGACGCAAGATTACCTCCTTAGAAAAGCTGAAGAGTCTTGCTTTACAACCTTCAGTAGAATTCGAAACCTATGTAAAGCAAACGACAAAATGTAACAGGAACGCAGTGTATCTCATTTGCTTGCATCACATTCTATTTAAAACGGCTATTTCCAAGCCCTGCAAGTGACTATAACAAAGCCTGCTCGTGCAACAGCACATCCTGTTTCAGTTAGTGTAGTGTAGTCGTTAAAGCACTGGACCCCAAATGCGTAGACTCGAGTTCAAATCCCCACTGAGCCGGTAACCTCACTGACTAACAGAATGGGGGGGGGGGGGGGGGGGGGGGCTTTTGAGAGTCAAAGTTGACATCAGATCTGACATAAGGAGCACCAGGATGAGTTCCCTCCCACCACTGCATAATTCTGCAACCCTCATTAGACAGCTGCGTGGCTCCAAGACAGCTTCAACCCGGAATGTTCATGCAACACAATGCCGTGGCCAGAACACTGACTGGAGTGGGTCAGAGGGACCACACCACTCCACTCACGGTCCATCTATGCTGGCTCCCAGTTTGCACCTGGGCACATATCCAGGTGCTGGTATTGACCCTTAAAGACCTACATGGATTGGGGCCAGCATACCTGAAGGACTGCCTTCTCTTATAGGAACCTGCCTGACTACTCTGGGTCATCCGCATTCAGAGGCAGTCAACTTCTGAATCCCAGTGCCAGGAGGCAACATCAGGGGAAGGTCTCAGCCTCTATGTCCTGCTGTTGGCCCTCTGAATCAACTGGTGAGACAGGATGCTGGACTACATGGACCACTGCTCTGATCCAGCAGGGCTCTTCTTATGCTCTTATGAAGGCCTCGGCCTCTATGCCTTGTTGTTGGCCCTCCAGAGGATGCTGGACTAGATGGACCGCTGGTCTGATCCCGCAGGGCTCTTCTGATGTTCTTATGAAGGCCTCGGCCTCTCTGCCCTGTTGTTGGCCCTCCAGAGGAACTGGTTGGCCACTGTGTGAGACAGGATGCTGGACTAGATGGACCGCTGGTCTGATCCCGCAGGGCTCTTCTGATGTTCTTATGAAGGCCTCGGCCTCTCTGCCCTGTTGTTGGCCCTCCAGAGGAACTGGTTGGCCACTGTGTGAGACAGGATGCTGGACTAGATGGACCACTGGTCTGATCCACCAGGCCTCTTCTGATGTTCTTATGTTCTTCTCATTGGAGTAGGATTGCGAAGTCAAAATATCTCTTTACCGGGGGACTCCTGCGCCGCGGCTGGAGAACATAGAGTTTTCCCTCGGATGACTGTGGCCCCACCCCGAGCGTGCCCGGCGTGGTCACGTCACTTCTGGGTGACGCGCATGTCGGGATGGGGCTCCCCCTGGGGCCCGATCCGCCGCCGGCGGGGAACGGGCCTCTGGGGCGGGACTTGGGAAGCCTACGTTGGAGATGCCTCGGGTCCTCCCGCCACCTATGCCTAGACAGATGGCAACCTGAGAAAGGGCCTCCTTTGTTGTGGCGCCCAGACTTTGGAACTTCCTCCCCTGGGAGATCAGCCCCTTCCACTTCTCCCCAGGGAGATTGTCTGTCTCCCTCTATAGCGGTCTTCTAACAGCAGGTTTAGGCTTTTTTTGGTTTTGCTTGGCATTCCCTCACTGACTCTCATTAGTCCTCCTCCGTGTGTGTGTGCTTATGTGGTATTTTTTTTGGTTCGTTTTAAACATTTGATACATATTTGTATTTCAAATGCTTTTCAATGTTTTAATCCTTTGTTTTAACGTTTCATCGCTTGCCACTTTGGGGACCTTGGATTGGATGGAAAGGCAGGGCAGAAATGTTTAAAATAAAATAAGTAAGTAAAAGTTCAGACTCATTAAAAACCGTCTAATCACTCAGCTGCAGGAGGCCATGAGGTAGTTAGCGCTTCTGAGATGAATAAGCACTAACAGGTAAGACTATAAACGCTCAGGAAGGATTTCAAAATACTTTACCTACCTAGCCCTGACCTGGATAGCCTAGGCAAGCCCAATCTTGTCAGATCTTGGAAGCGAAGCAGGGCCGGCCCCAGAAAGTACTTGGAAGGGAGACATCCAAGGAATACCAGGGGCTGGGCCGCAGAGGCAGGCAATAGTAAGACACCTCTCTGAAATGTCCAAGCCCCACTAGGGGTCGCCAGAAGTCAACTATGACTTCCAGGCATACATAACACACAATATACTCACAAAGATATAATAATTTACCTACCTGGAAGAACTCCACAGCAACGTTTTGTGGGAGAGGGCAAGGAATGGACCACTTTTTAACGATGACCTGGAGAGAGAAGGTATCGTGAATGATTTGCAAGCGAGACTGAGCAGCGCGTGCCACACTTATTCCAAACGTCTGTCCCTTGCTAGAAACTGCAGCAAAAGAACGGAAAATGGCTTGCGCAGAGAGCATCTCTTCCCGAGCAATGGAGTTCTCATAATGCTTTTGAACAGGGACTGGTAAGGAACGGCCAGTGTGTTGCCATGGGGACAGTGCTGGACTCGGACTGGGGTGACTTGGGATCAAATTCCCACTTTTAGAACAGTCACAACCGGGGGTCATTTCCTGCAGGAGCGCACAGGAGCGGAGCTCCGGCAGTAAAGAGCCCAGGGGGCGGGAACATGCAACAAGCCCCACCCCCTGCTCCCAGCAGCCCTCAGTCAGAGCAAGAAGCAGCCAGGTAAGTTGCCGAGCCCTCCCCAACCCAAAACAGTCCAGTGGCACCTTTAAGACCAAGTTTTATTCAGGTACAAGCTCTCCCTCCTCTGCGAGGACATATCTGCATGTTCCCCCCCCCCAGTAGCTAGCAATGCAAAACAGTCCAGAGGAGCCTGAACGGTTGGTGTTGCCTTCTAACACGCTTCCGGTGATGTCAGGGGGTGTGGCATATGCAAATAAAGTTCTGCTAATGAGTGATGCTAATGAGCTCCTGCACCTCTTTTTCTACAAAATGACCCCTGGTCACAACAGTCCTTTTCAGACACTGCAGTGACTCACAAGGGCTTCTTCTTTTCTAGTTGTACCTGAGCACTCCACTGGAGCGCTGGGCGTTTCAGATTGGACCGAAGAAGATCCAGGGGCCAAGGAAACATTTTACATCTTGATGGGTTGCCAACGTTGGATCACAAGAACATTTGACCCTACTTATTCCATGGGTGAACATCTCAGTGTCCATTCTGTGTATGATTAGTTATATGTATGTCTTTGTTAAATTGATGGAGTGCTCAGTTTGAATAATACCACTGAGGAAGACCTGGTAACAAAACGTATTTGGCATTGGTTCCTGCACATGTACTTTTAAACTTGGATTTATGTAAACGGACATTTGTCTTTATATTGGGATTAGGTATTTATATGCTAAACCACAGGATTGTTGTTTTTAAAGGATATTTTAGCATAGAATCATAGAGTTGGAAGGGAACTCCAGGGTCAATCTAGTCCAGCCCCCTGCACAATGCAGGAAATTCACAAATACCTCCCCCCACACACACCCAGTGACCCCTGTTCCACACCCAGAAGATGACAAAAAACCTCCAGGATCTCCAGTCAAACTGGCTTGGAGGAAAATGGCTTCCTGACCCCAATCAGCATTTCCCTGGGCGTGTAAGAAAGGGCCATGAGAACTAAGCACTGAGGCAACCCTTCCTGCCCTCCCTCTCATGATCTGCCTAAATTCAAAGAATCAGCATTGCTGTCAGATGGCCATCTAGCACTTCTGAATGTATTACTAAATTATATACAATATTTCGTACATTTGCATGATGAGCATAGTTATTTTTTTCTTTTTCTTTGTTCCAACCCTTTTGGTTACTTTCTCGTGCAGGGTGGTGTTTTTCTCCCCTTTTTCGGTTGTACTCATTACAGTGACTCATACCATGGGCCTACCGATTGCATGCTATGGAAGACTGCAGTAACCAGCGACCCTCTCGACATCTGTGGTTGCCATACTGCATGAACAGGGGTGGTGTGTGTATTCACTATGTGCCTGGGTACACGTGGATGCAAACAAAGCTACCACAACGGTCGGAAAGGCGGTGAATAGTGTGTGTGCCTGTGATACGGGTTTGGTGGGCTCCCGGCAGACATCGCAGTAGTTCTGAAAATGCTTCCTCTTTCAGCTTAAAATCTTTCACATGTGGGGGTAAAAAGCAAGGACAGAACTGCCATGTATGCTACCCAGAGAGAAGAAGGATTGGATTTATACCCCGCCCTTCACTACCCGAAGGAGTCTCAGAGCAGGTTACAATCTCCTTTCCCTTCCCCTCTCCATAGCAGACACCCTGTGAGGTCGGTGGGGCTGAGAGAGCTCTCTCAAGAACTGTCCTTGAGAGAAAAGCTCTGCGAGAACTTGTGACTGACCCAAGGTCACACCACCAGCTGTATGTGGAGGCATGGGGAACCAAACCGAGTTCTCACCAAACTGGTGAGAGGAAGGGTTGAATGTGGGAAGACAAACAATCAAGTAATTCTGGTCTCAGGTACTCAAAGAGATCAAGCTAATGACCCTGTGTGATTTTCGGGAAACCCCGGAACTTATTCTCCTAAACCTCTGGGAGGATTCAAATGTACCTAAAATACGACAGAATTTAATTATGACCTTGATCACCGCGGCAAAAACTGTTATAGCCACGAAGTAGAAGGACGCAAGCCCCCACGGTGCAGCAATGGCATCTGAAAATTTTGGATTACTTTATCCTAGATAAAATTACGGATGCAATTTCAGAAAGGCAATCGAATTCGGTAAGACGCACTAGTCTCCTCAAGAAATGGGTGCCTTTTATGGAGTATAAGCTTCAAGCCTCCAATAAAGCAAGTAGTATACAAGACATAGACAACTGCATGTCGTTACTAGCTATCCACTGAGCCTTGAGTTGGTGCTACATGCAATTCGAACATGACCTTGCATTTGTGATGTTTGACACTGATCTGGTTTTTATTGTTGTCACTGTTACCATGTTTCATACTGTTATTGTGCTTCTGCTAATATATATATGTGTTAAAAAGGTAAAGGTAAAGGTTCCCTTGCTCGAAAGCCAGTCGAGTCCGACTCTAGGGTTGCGGTGCTCATCTCCGTTTCAAAGCCAAAGAGCCAGCGCTGTCCAAAGACGTTTCCGTGGTCATGTGGCCGGCATGACTAAACACCAAGGCGTACGGAACGCTGTTACCTTCCCACCAAAGTGGTCCCTATTTATCTACTTGCAATTTCTTGCTTTCGAACTGCTAGGTTGGCAGGAGCTGGAACTAGAGACGGGAGCTCACTCCGTCTTGCGGCACCCGGGTCTTGAACTGCTGAACTACTGACGTTCCACAGCCTGCAGTTCAGCGTCTTAACCACTTGAGCCACCGCAGCTCTATGTTACCCTATGTTATATTGTATGAGGAACATCGCCTGAATCCTCCTGTTTCCTATTGTTAGATATTCAATAAAAGTTATTCAAAACCAAAAAAAGAAAAAAAAGAAAGAAGACAAACAGAAAAGAAAGATAAGCCTTCTTCAGGTGTTACTTCCCCTCTTCAAGACTGTCCCGGAGAGCGATCAGCTTCCCAACCCCAGTTCCATCAACGTGAGCAGAAGACAACGCAGTAAAGGATGGTAGCAAGAATAATCACTGTGGGAAACGCACTGCAGTGGACTACAATCCTTCCCCCCCCGTTAATTATTTTTATTGGTTTTATCCATCCCTTTTACAATCCATATTATTTAGCATCTTACAGTTTTTTCCTCCTCATTTGACTTCATTTCTGACATGGAATCTAATATGTACAACATTCCCTCCCTTCTCCCTTCCCTATCTTCGTGTAGTCCTTAGTCTTTTCTCTCCAGCCATGGGCGCAAAGTCAGAATCTTCCACTGAATGTCTTCCCTTCCCTCCTTGGATATCCACTCCAGATAGGTCTTCCATCTTTTCCAAATTTCAGTGGATTTCCCTTCCCACGATGACTCCTTGCGCAGGGCTGCCACCATGTCTGACTGTATAAAATCAAACAGATAGCTGTGCCAGATTTCCGCTGTCCACTTACTTTTATCCTTCCAGCCCAAAGCTATAGTTGCTTTCCCCGCCAATATCATGGCCTTAACTAGGGCTTGGTCTTCCTTATCCAAACTCGAGTTTCCCATTGTGCTTGTCAGCATTAAGTTGAAATCTATATTTAAATTTATTTTAGCTACCTTCCTTATAAATTTAATCATTTCTAACCAGAATGTCCTTACTTCACTGCACTCCCACCACATATGTGCAAACCAGCCTTTAGATTGCCTACATTCCCCATTCCCCTAGCTTGATATTCTTATTCTTTGTAATATCAGTATTCAAGTCTCCTGTTGTAATTAGTTTACCTTCTGAGAAGGTTTGGCTCTTCTGTAGTGGACTACAATCCTGTTCCATTATAATGATGCTAGGGCTGGCAACTGGCAGTGAGACTTACCGACAGTGGTGGCCCTCGTCAGCTACGTAATGACATCAGTGGCGGTGTGCTGATGTTACTCCCCGTGCACCCGGAAGTGATGTCAGTGCATCACTGGGGGAGTTTTGTTGAAATGCTGCAGTGTCCCTGGCGACGTGCTGATGTCACTTTTGGGCACACAGGAAGTGACATCAGCACACCGGGATGCTGTTGACACACCCCCTTCCCCATTCATGCCATATCTGCTCCTACCAGATGGGTGAGCCAGCGGGGAAATGGCAGCCCAAAATGGTGCCCTCTGGGACTGTTCCCTTCTACAGACTATTCCCTTCTGTTGTAGTGGTTAGGAGCATGAAATCTAACCTGGGAGAACCCGGTCTGATTCACCACTCCTCCACATGCAGCTGCCGGGGTGACCTTGGGACAGTCACAAGTTCTCTCGAAGCTGTTCTCTCACTGAGCATTTCTCGAAAGAGCTCTCTCAACCCCACCTACCTCAAAGCCACTATCTGTTGTGGGGAGGGAAAGGGAAAGGAGATTGTAAGCCGCTCTGAGACTCCTTCGGGTAGTGAAGGGTGGGGTATAAATCCAATCTCTTCTTCTCTTCTTCTTCTACTAAAGTTCTAACCTCATTATTATATTATTTTCCATAATGCTGGCGGGAGGTCATGGATTAAAAGTTAACAACCTGACAGCACTCTGTTTGAGGAAATGATTGACTGGATCCATACCGATTGCCAAACCGTGCTGTTCACTCCCGCAGTGTCACTAAAAGATCCGGGCTCACTCGAGAACACTTCTAAGTGCAGGGGAACACATTATTGCAAGCAATCAGTGGCCAAGGGAGGATATGGTGATCTCTCTGGCCCAAGCCAGAT